CCCAAGGAGTGTTTGAACAGTTATTATAGAATTTGTATATTACTGAGGAGCTCCATGCAATCACTTTTAAGGTCCTTCCAAGTCTTAGTGAGATTTTTGTGACCCACAACTTAACAGCCAGGGCACGCAGGCTTCCATTTCAGGGGGTCTGCCTATAGACGAAGAAATGGCTCATCCATCTCTTTTCCGGTCTGATTGTTGGAGCCAGACTTTTTTCCTTAGCTAGGTCAAGTTCATTAAATGTCTGCAGTTGAAGTTGAGAAGGAATTTTGGAGAAATATCTCCATTCAACTGTTTCTCCAACCTTCTCTCAATGTTCTTCTATCAGTGTGATGACAGAAATAGGCAGATTGAAAAGGTCATAAAAATATTTGAGGATATTTTGTGAGACCTAGACCCCGCTGGAGTTACTAGGAAAGGCAAAATGTGCTATGCATGTTCAGAGGCCTTAGAACTAGACCTTGGAAGATGAGGAGGATTTTTTGCATTAGAGATTGTAAGGCTGGGCATTCCAGACTGAAGAAACAATGAACAGAAATACCAGACAGAGAAGTGTGGGCTATGTCCTAGGAACAGTAGAAACTTGGGCAGTTGGACTTATTTGGCTGGAACAAAAAGTACACGTAGACAAAAAGCAAGGGTTGGGGGCCTTTAAAGATCTGTATACTTTCAGAACAAGGAGGTTAATAGACAGCGGAGAGGTTAGTAGTCAGTGGAATTTTTTGAGCAGATAAGTAGAACCATGCCTTAGGTAGATTAACTTGTCATTGATGTATCATACAGGATGAACAGAGGGCAGAGTAAAGAAAACCCGTTTGTAATAGAGCTGCTGATGGTGAAACCAGAGGCAGGCTGGGTGAATCTTCTAATTTACTTGGGATTAGGAAAAGTGACCAACATTGTAACATTTATGGATACAAAATTGTGACCATTAGGTTAATAGTAAGGGAGGTTTAATGAAGAATAAGCCCTGGGTGGGGAAAGAGGATACCTAGGTTCTAGCCAAGGTACCTTCACAGCTTTCTAGTATAACATTGAACAGGTTGCTTAAGCTCTCTGTGCCTTGGTTCCTCTGAACCAAGAAGAGATCCTCTGAGGATATAATAAGATGATAGAGTTGGATTTACACGAAGGAAATGCCATTGTTTCATAACATGTCATTTGTTCAGGTTCCATGCAATGATTCATTTGGTAGATGTACAGAGTAAAAACATTTTTAAGTTAATCTTATCTTATAATTTGCTCTGTTTTCTCTACTTTTTTTTTTTTTAAGATTTTATTGGGGAATTGGGGGAAGCGGAACAGACAAGTTGCTGTCCTTTTGTTCTTGAGTCTAGTTGTGGAGGACATCGCTTCACTGGCCCATGTTGATATTATCATTGTGCTCTTCTCAGGTAAGGCAGTCGCTCGCCGGCCATTGAACGGCCGCTCACGGCAGCTCACGAAAGCTCAAGCCCGCTGCTGGCCAGCCCCACTGCAGCCTACGCCGTTGCTGGCGACTCATGGCAGCCCAGCTCCAGATTGAGCTGTTGTTCACCATCAGCTGTAGAGGGCGCAGCGTCACTGGCCCTCATGTGGGATCCGAACCGGGGCCCTGCTGCTTAGAGCTGGCGCCCCAAGCCAACTCAACCAACACGCCACTTGGCCAGCCCCTCTCTACTGTCCTTTTAATGTGGCACTTAAAGGTCAAGGTTTCGTGCCCTAGAGACTTAATTTATATAAAGAATCTGAATTTGGCATTTCAGACCACATAAAGGTCAGTAACAGCTAATGTGTTCTCTTCCTTGTACTTTTAGAAACAGGTGTGAGTTATGCTTACAGTCTCCTCACATTTGTCACAAAAAAAATATTTTACAAAAGTATTTATAAAGGCAAATTAGCCCAGAAAATGTAAACGTTAGTTCTCCTAAGAGCTTTGTGGTTTCATACTGTAGGTTTCTGTGAAATGAACAGGCAGAACTAGATGAATTGGTAATACCTTCCAACTCTTAAAAAATTCAATTTGTCTACATTGCTTATATATCAACTGTATTTTGCTACTTCTTGACATAGAGCTATTGAGTAATTTCTAAGCATATCTGTGAAATATTATATAGCATTTCAGACTTACTAAGTTTTCCCCAGTGTGTCATTGACAGATTAAGGAATTGATTTGTCTGTTTTTGTGTCTAAATTGCCAAAGGAGAAATGCAGAAAAAAATAATTTATTTTAGCAGACACTTTATAATCTATTACAGTGCAGGGTATTAGAAAATGCAGGAGGTTCACAGATAAATAAGACAGGGTCCTCAAAGAATTTACAGTCTGATAGTAAGGATGGGGATAGAGAAACATTCTGTTCTCCTAGAAACTAAACTGAAAACAATGTAGAATTAAGTTTTAGCTCTGGGTAGAACTTTATTAATCATATAATTCAGTGTTTATACAGTTAAAGAAAATACAGCTCTCACATATAAAATGGCTTGCCCAGTATAGCATTTATCACCTGTATCTCTTTCACGTTTAAAGGAGTTCTCTGTCCTTTATATTTTATTGCTTATATGGTAATAACATGGTCTATTCATGTTTGCCCAGAAGGCAGAGGTGATCTAGAAGTTGGACAGCGAGCGTTTAAAAAATTAAGTTTGTCTTTAGCATGTTTTCTCTTGAAAATGATAGCCCTCCGTCGCTGTATAATTCTCCTTGTAGTCAGTTCCTCCAGGATCTGTCTTGCCCCAACAAGTTTCTCATCTTTGCTTAGCCTGAGCAGCTTAGTAAGGTGGTGTGGAGATGTGGAAAGATGAAATTGATGATAGAAGGGAGTGATCTTGAACCAGATTTGATTAGAATCAAATCACAGGTTTGCTTTCTGTCTTTTCCATAGATGATTAGAATGATTCTCAGGGCAGCTCCTAAGTTATCCTTTTGACTAAAATAGATATTCTTAGCCAAGAGTTTTTGAGTAAAAGAGCTACTCCCACTAATTCATAGCTGCTTTTTATTCTTCTAAAAACTTGTCAGTCCATGCAGCATTTCTTGTTTGCCTAGAGCACTGGCCACTCATAAATGAAGGCTCTCTGAGTTTTAAGTGTAGTTGTTTGAAGTAGTTTTTCCCCTTTATGTTTGACAGTTGGTTACTTTTGATGCAGCCCATTAGCTGATGTATGAGTAATTCAGCCACACAGACTGCTTTTACTTCAGTGTGTAGACTGTGCATAGTTCAGTTTCTTTCCATGAAAAGTGCTTTCAGGAAATCCTGTGCAGGTTATCTGAAGTAGTAGAGCTCACTTTGGCATATGGCGAAGAAAGTGAAAATAATATTGAAATTTGCAAATAATCACTAAATTAATTTACTGCCAGTACTATTCATATCTTTCTCATCTTAGCCCAACCATTGCCAGGAAGAAAAAGCAAGTGGGAATTTGTTGATACCTTAGAATTATTTTTATTATCAACAAAGGCAAAAATTAGAAGGAAAAGCAGTAGTCTTATTGAAGATATATATTTTTTTTCATGCGGGAGTCAAACCCGCAACCTTTCTGTTAAGAGCGCATGCTCTAGCCACTGAGCCATCCGGGCGGCAGCTCAGCACAAGGTGCCGAGTTCAGTCCCAGCCGTGGGTGGGTGTAGCCCACCATCGAACAGGCAATCTTATCACTAGGAGCACGTGCTCTCACCAGCTGAACCATCCTGCCACCTGTTTGGCAGCTCAGTGGCAGCTCAGCTTGGGCGAAGCTCACTGGCCCATGTATGGGAGTCGAACCAGTGACTCTGTTGCTCAGAGCTTGTGCTCTTAATAAAACTGTTAACCAACTGAGCCACTCGGCCAGCCCTGAAGAATTTTTAAAAGGATAAAATCTAAGTGGTAGGTTGTTTTTTTTATTGTAGGTTTTCGGCAATTATTCTCCTGAGTTCTGACTATCTCTATCAACCTACAATTGTAGTAAGTGCCCTAACTCCCATTAGCTGCCAGGCTTAATCCAGGCAGAATTGCGTGTGCGTGTGCGTACAATTTTAAGGTCTTTTACATTTCTTTTTTCCTTATTGACCTGACCTATTTTCTCTCTACTTCCACTGCATCATTTTACTTAACTGTTTTTAGTACATTGACATGGCAGAACTTTGGGAATCCTAAGTTTTTGCCAGTTCTGTGTGAGAGCCTGTGTAAACCTATGATGTACTCAAGCCTAATACCCTTTGTGAATGAACTGGTAAAATTAAGTATCCTTATAATCATTGCACCTCAAGGAACAGGCCAAGGAAAGGCAGCTAAAATATCCAAAGGGTTGTCTGGTTCTATTCATACAGTTTCTACCAGTCACATTTCTACCATTCAATTTGGAATAGGAATGTGAAGCCAGGGCCTGAGGGATGAGTGGCGCAACATCACAGCCTTGAAGCAGAATAACCTTCCCCCTGTTTACTCATCAGGTTGTATTTCCTGCTCCCACTTACTAAGAGCTACTCTGTTGTTGTTGTTTTCTAAACAACTCCCGTATATTGGCCTGGAATGCCAAGTTATGGAGCTGACATCTAAGCCCCAATTATTATTACATTGAATCAAGTTCTCCCCTGAATTCCTACCTCTCCTTCACCTTCTCCTTCCCCAAAAGGACAACTTGAGTGTGGAATTCATAAAGCTATCTAGAGACTTGTAAAGTGTACCTAGAGGGAGGGACACTTGAAACAAAGCCAGAGCCATTTCTCAGAATATCTACTGACCCGGTACAGGTAGGCCATGGACAGCCAGGATTATTCCAGTTAAACTGATTGCATGATCATGTGAACATAGTCCATTAGCGTGAATCCCTGTTTATGGTAATTTACTATTTTTGACCTTGAATTTCTCAGTGTGCTTGCTTAAAGCTTATGTCACCAATCATAAATAAGGACTGCAGAAAGCAGAAGCCCAACTAGATAGATTTTTTCTTTGTTTACTGTTTTTAAAAATCTGAAAAGGAACATGACCCTAATCGTTTTAAGAATGAAAACTTTCTTCCTTATCTTTCTTATCTTGGAAGCCAGGAAAGACTGTAGGCAGTCTCCAAAAGAATTGTCTGAGGCTCCAGATTACATCTGTCTGAGCTGGAGAAGAGGGACCATGTAGCAGAGGTATGACCACTTCTGTGTAATCTTTTTGTGGGGGTCTAATCTCCATAGTCTCTCTGGATTATTGTTTCTTATCCATCATTGTGCAATACCAGGAAAACAAAAAAGAATTTGACATTGAAACTAAACCTAGTGGAAGTAATGTCAGTGCTAAGACTCAGAATACGCATGGGAATTTAGCCTCACAAATTTCCTAACATCTGTCCATAAATTCATGTTTATTTTGCTAAAGATGCTAGATTTTGCAAAGAATTTGGCCCTCTAGTTAAGCTTTATAGTGTATCTGTGTTGGGGGGAGGGGTGGGCAGGAATAGAGGAAACTTCTTTTTTGATGAGCCTCAGAAATAGACTGAGAATTAAATTGACCCTTGAATACAAGGAAGCTTTGAAACCTATCTGTATAAATATTGCACCATACTTATGGGAGAAAAGGGAAAGCAGAAAGAAAGGCAAAGCTATATGACATTCAATGTAAAATATGCCATTTCATTTCCCTTATCTAATAGTATTCAAGGCAATAGAAACAAATTGGCATATAGCCAACTTCAGTTACCCAACTGAAGATATGTAAATAGTAATGTAATAAGCCTTCTTAAGAAATAAACTTCTTGGGCCGGCCGAGTGGCGCATTGGTTAAGAGCTGGCTTGGGACGCCAGCTCTGAGCAGCAGAGCCCCGGTTCGGATTCCACATGGGGCCCAGTGACACTGCCCTCTACAGCTAAGATGGTGAACAACAGCTCAACTTGGAGTGGGGCTGCCATGAGCCGCCGGTGACAGCGTAGACTGCAGCCCCTGCTGCAGTGGGTTGCCATGGGCTACCTACCGTATGTGGCTGGCAGCCAGCGTGAGCAGCCAGCAACTGCTGTGAGCGGCCGTCCAGAAGCCGGCGACTGATCTGCCTCGCCCGGGAAGAGCGCAATGATGGTGCCAACTTGGGCCAGTGAAGCAACATCCTCCACAACTAGACTGAAGAACAAAACGACAGCAACTTGTCTGTTCCCCTTCCCCCGATTCCCCAGTGCTGTTCCCATCCCCCAATTCCCCAATAAAATCTTAAAAAAAAAAAAAAAGAAACTTCTTAATTATTTCATGCTTGATTTTCTTTCTATCAATTCCTAGCCCATTTCTCTTGTATTTCCTTAAAGATCGAAGACGTTTTGTATGGTAGAAACTATTATGAACTATCCACATGAGTGTTGATAGTCACTTTTGGTCCAGGAAACAGGATAAGCAGAAAAGGAGCTTGCAAGTGGTCTTGGCTAGAATACTTTGTAGGAGAGACGCTAACAGAAAGCTAATATTTTGAGTAATGTCTGCTCCCACAAAGTTCATTCATTGGATTTTTCCTATCTAAGATCTTTTATTGCCTCATATTCCACATAATGGTAATAGTTAACCATGTGTCAGGCGCTTTGCGAGGTGTTTATGTCTGTTCTATCAGCCTCTCAGCAGCACAAGTTCTACTGGCCAGAAACTAGCTCCAGAGAGGCTAAGTAACTTTCCCAAGTCATACAATTGTTACCGGAGAGTGGGCTCTTCTCAGCACAATGTCCAGGTTCTTGGCATCTCGAGCAAAGAATTGAACGAGACAAAGAAGTAAAGTGGTGAAAGAGCAGTTTATTAGAAGAGATATAGTACACTTCAAAGAAATAGAAGTGGGCCCGAGCAGTAGAGAATGGTTCAAGGGCCATTATTAGAAGAGATATTACACTCCAAAGAGTTTGGAGCAGGCCGAGCAAAAGGAGCTCAAAAGGTGCTGACTAGCCAGGACTTGGAGTTTTGATCCCTTTTTGTCTAGAATGAGTTGTTCCTCTCTGGGCGTGGGACTACTTGATTGACACCTGTGATTGACAAGAGGTTATTACCTCATCTTTTTAGACTGAGCAGGTTCCAGTGACTGGTCTAATCTAGTTGGGTATATTGTACCCATTTGTTTCCCCTCAGGGGTAAATAATTACAATGAAAAGGGGAAGTTTTGCATGGAGAGGGGAGGTCTTTTGGGCTGTGGCATTCTGTGGGTTGTGTTGGACGTGCAGGAATGCAGAGACCCAATGCCTGCCTTTAACTGCCTGCCTTTTTTCCCCTTGAGAGATGTGATCCCCATAAAATCTTTATGAGAAGTTGAGGGACAGGAGGTCTTTTCTTTTTCTATGCTTCTTGCTGTTCTTTTTCTATGCTTCTTGCTGGGCAGGGGCGTAGAGGTGTCCCTGCCTATTGGGGGATTCACAGAACTCTCACCCTATCTGATCTCAGATGAGAGGAAGGGGCCTCAAGATCGCCTGGAAGACTCCGTTGGCTTCTTTGGTTGGGACTGGCAATCTTGCTGGGGTATCATCTCTATCCCCAAGGTCCCTGAATGAGGAAAAATAGATTTTCATTAATAAATCTGTTAGCTCTTATGGAGCCTGTGGCCATTCAATCAGTCACTCAGGTGACATCAGTTGTCCAGGAGCTGGGCCCAGAATGGGTTGGGAGGAACATTAGGCTTCAGTGATTACAATCAACAAGTATACTGGCCTGGGGAAATGTTAAAAACTGTTTAGTCTCTGGGATGGAATTATCCAAGAGTTAGGTCCCGAATGGCTTGGGAAATGTTGGGAAGTCACAGGCTTTTAAGTAGTTATCTGAAGCAAGGGTAGGAGATTTCTATGATTCAGATTAAAAACATTGTATTGTTTATGATTAAGAAACTGATCTACAAAACAATCAAGAAGCAAGGGGATAGGAGACTTCTATGATTCAGGCTAGGAGCAATCTTTGGTCTAGGATTCAGAAACTGATGAGAAGAGTAACCAAAGCCAGGAGCTAAGGAACTAAAAACCTAGGGAGAAGGAGACTTAAATTTTCTATAGGAAAGAAAACTTAAAAGTTTTTCGAGGGGGTGGAGGGGGACCTATTTGCTTGGCCTGTAACACAATCAGAGCACCTTCCAAGTTCTTTGGCAGATGTTTTCCAGCTATGCACTTGAGCTGGTCACACTCTTGTATAATGGAAAAGTGCTTCTCCAGTGTGGGTCCCTCTTGAATTCTATTAGAGAAAACTAGTTTGCCTGAATGGGCAAAAATGTAAATGGAAGTATAGTATTCCAAATCTTTCCATCTCATTATAACTCAACTTGGTAAATAAAATATTGTAGGTAGATTTTTTTCATAGATTGAAAGTTAGGAATCCTAAGATTTTTGTTTGTTTGTTTTTCAGCTCCGTACTTGAATTCTATATTCAATTTTTTTTTGTTAGTATTCTTTAAGTAATTTGTAAGTTTGATGAAGTGAAAGAATCAGGATAAGAAGAAAACAATGGAGGTTTTAAACAAGAACATTCCTGTTAGCCAGGAATTAACATACGCATGTAGATTACCCTAAAACCAGAAATCCAGTGAATCCGTAAGTAAACAAACTTTACTCCGGTTCCACTCATCGTTACTAACTCTTCCACAAGTTTCATTTGTTGTAATTACTTTATAAATCAAAACACTTGATTCCAAGAAAGTATAGTACAGCTACTTTGTGGACCTTGAACCCAGTTCTTAGAAAGAGGCAATGGGGTGGAGCTAAATGATAGAAAACAGTTCTTGAGGAGCAAGTAGTTGAAGTTGGCTGTGGAGTTCAGAGAAACTTGAATAAACCAAAGGCAAAACAGCACAGCTCGTCATTAAACCATTTTCTACAGATTATAAATTAAGACAACAAATGGTATTGCTGTATTGCTGTTCTTTGGTTTAGTCTTACTTTAGTACCATTTTTATTCTGGAAGAAGCAGAGCTTAAGTCTTCTTAGATTAGAGCTACCAAAGGAAACAGACTAACACTAAACAACTGCCAGTTTAACTCCTGTAAGTAAAATTTCTCTTCTAGAGAGAATGGGTTTGGTATGTTTGACTGCTTTAGAAGATGAGTTATCGAAATATAATGCATAAGGCACATCACTGAAAAGTCAAGTAGCTAGAGAAAAGAATAAGCATATAATCACTTTTATTGACTACACTTTAATAATACATTTCTGAGTTTTTCCTTTTTGATATCATTTGAGTTTGGCATATTCCCATGGGATTTTTCCTAGACGAACACTTTTAGTGAGCATAAGGACTTGTCAGGATTGGCTTGAGTTTGTGCTTACAATATATGTTTGTAGGTTAATTTCCATCAGAATTGTACCTTCCAATTCATATACCATTGGGCAAGCCTCGCTTGGGATTCCACTGACAATGAAAGGAAATAGATTCTCTTCCTGCTCTACTTTCTAGTGTATTTGAATGTTAAATGTATCCTATGATGATAACACTTCAAAACAGGTACGTACTTCGAAAGGAGTTCTTGAGATTTGGACATATGGATTACTGGGTCACTGATATGTCTGAAGAGATTTGATTACATATCTTCATGGTACAAGTTTTACTCTTATTCAGAATAAGGTACATGAACAATTACGAACCTGTGGATCTTCAATAAATGTTGATGAGAAGAACATGTCAAAGGTCATCAAGGAAATCAAGGGTACTGATCTTAAGTAATTTGTGATGTGATGTTCTTGCTTTTCAAACTGTCCTTTCCATGGCATCTTATTCCCCAAAATGAAAATTATGATTGTTCCATTTGCCCTTCTAGTTTTTTAACCTTAAAGCTAGCTCCTTGAGGAAAGACTCCCTAAATGGTTCATCTCTGTGTCTCCCTCAGTTTCTCATACCAGAAGACACTCTGCAGATATACATCAAATCAGTGGCCAGGATTTATGTTGATAATATGGAATGGAGTTACCCTTTGTGGTTTTCTTATGCTCTAATCACTTTCCAGACTCTTACTGGAAGAGAACAAAATTTGTGACTTCTTCCTCAGTCTCATATAAGGATATGTTATCAGTCTTCCTGGCTGGCAGTATTCATTTCATCCTTATTTCACTTTATTTGCTTGGTTCAAAATCATAAATTATGATCACTCAGGTACCAATGATCTCGCCATCCTACCTACCATGACTCTTTACCTGAAAACTGCTGCCCGCTTACCATTTGTCCCTTCATTGAAACTTTGTGTGTGCTCTCTTGATTACTTTTGTGTATGTTGTTTTTTACCTTTTAATATAAAAATTTTGTGGACAAAGTATTCGTTATATATCTAGTTGTACCTCAGATCTAATCCCTTTATGGCAATGATATTACTAATACCAGATTGGTCAAGCTTTGTAATATAAATTAATATAGTGTATGGCATGAAAGTTATTTAAGTTCGAAGTTGAATATTTGTGCTTTTGGGTTAGACATACATGACTCCCAGAATCGGATAAATTTCCTATGTAAAGTATGCCTTTTCTCTACCTCTAAGTAATGCTGTCATGTTACCCTGTTTCTTTCTTTCACAGCACTAATCTACCATGAAGTTGATTCTTTTTACTTAATTGTTTCTCTCTATATCAGATACCTTGTTTGCCTTATTCACTGTTAAATTACTAGCACTTAACTCCAAGTTGGCACATAGTAGGAGCTTTATAAATGTTTATTGACTGAATGAATACTGAGAGGCACACTCAGGCTCATGAACATGAATACCTACTTGTAATTTCTAATGCATTCTTTCCTCCACAAACTGCAGTTGAGGGACACATAAAGAGAGTCCATCAACACCCCTCTCAGCACCCTCTTCAACTTCCCACTCCCCACCCTCACCTCCACCCCAGCTACAGGAGGTTTTGCTCCTTGGTTTATGTACCAGATGGACTTTGGGAATAAAGCAGTGATGTGATAGTAAAGATACAAGGTTGAATATGCCTTGTCTAGACTTAATTTAATATAGAATAGTCGATTTATACCTTGTTTTCAGTGTTCTGAGCTCTAATGCCCTGCTAGGATTGAAATCGTATCTAAATTCTGAGTACACTACTCGCCTAGGGCAGTAGTAGACCTTTCCTTCAAATTTAAATTAGCTCAAGGCTGGTTGTCCTATATGTGAAAATGCATTCTTAATATCCTGATGGAACACAGGCCACCCAATTAGGTAAATTATCTGAAGTGCTGCTTTTTATATTCTGACATTTATGATTAGAAAGCCTAAGAGCAGGTCAATTTCATTAATGACATTAATTTGTCCATTACTACAAAAATTGTCTGTTTCTGCAATCCAGAGAAGCTACTTTTCTTCTCCTTATCTCTTATTTAAACTTGAATATACATTGAACATGACTATTCAAGGAACAACTCTGCAAAGTAAGGGTTAGTTTTCTGAAACTTCAAGTAAACATCCCTCCCACCACAGTCTCCAAAGATGATCCCTATGAATGCAGTTACTTCTCTTTTATCTGTAGGTTATGAAAAATAATCCTGAGTCAAGATGCTAGAATGAAGTTCCACAAAGATGAAGTATTTATCAAGAGTCAAGATTTTGTAAAAAGTATAACTATTGCACTGTGTTGCACAGCTGAAACTAATTCTAAAAAAATGTGTATTTCATAATAAAAAATAATTTAATAATAAATAAATAAAAGAAAAAACAAGAGTCAAGATTTTATATCCTTATTATATATACTCCTTTTTCGTAGAATCTTCTGCTAACTCTCCACTTTTCTTGGAAAAATGAGCCATTCCCACCACGTGGGGCCGAGCTATGTGGACCACAACAATACCATGCCACCTTCTCACCATCACCCGACGACCTCAGCCTCCCACGCCCATGGCGGGCCGGGAGCTGGTGACATGATGATGATGGTGAGTGCTGCGGGAGAGGCAGCCCAGGCCCTTTCCCACCCTCTTGGGTAATAGAAATCATTGCATTTTAGGACTGGAAGGAAGGTTGTTATTTAAATGTCAGTTTGCCAATGAGGAAAACAAAGGCTGACTTAGACAAGGCAAGTGATTTGTTCAAGATCACATGGCAGGTTAATGACAGCGCCACACCAGAACCAAGATTTCCAGGGTCCATACTTCTGTATTCCTTTCTTTCAAAATTGACCCTTTTCTGAATTAAGTTCTGGTCTTCATGTCTTGTGTAGAAAAGAGAAAAAGACAAAAGTTGACGGTGGGGACAAAGGAGAGTACTTGTGGAGAGTGCCTGAGGTAATAATGCTAAAAGGAGGGATAAATGAATGTCTACTGCAGTGAATGTCTGTTATTATCCAGATCTGCTACTTTTAGGTGTTCTTAGCTTCTTTACCTGAAATTCTCATTTAGAATCTTCAGTCATCTCTAATTGACTTTTTTGGTTTTCTGACAGCACATGACCTTCTACTTCGGCATTAAGAATGTGGAGCTATTGTTTTCTGGCTTGGTGATCAATACAGCTGGAGGTGAGTAAGCCATCAGGTAGTGTTTGCAGGTGATAGTCCCATGGGAGACAGTGAGAAGAATCTGGAACCCCAGCACCTGTTTGTGTCGTAATTACTGAATCATTCTGGTTACGATACATAACCATCTTGCTTCCTATTTCCTCCATAGGAAGTAAGGATACACAATGCTTATTTTTGAGTTCCTGAAAAATAATGTAGATAACAGATAGGAGTCTTTTGCAATCTGTTTCTTTTCATCCTTTTCCAGAATGTTTCCTTCTTTGGTAAGTTATTGGTCATGGACATAAAACTATAGTCAAGTTAAAATAACATAAGAAGCATTTTATTTATACATACCACAAAATAACCCTAGGTTAAAAACTATTGATCTAGTACAGTGCTGCCATTTTACAGATAAATTAAACTTCAAATAGTAAAATGATTAGCCTTAAATCACATAGATTTGTATGTCAGAGCTAGGACAGTGACCCAGACCTTCTCGACCTGCCTAGTCAGTGCTGTCTCTGGTGTTCCAACTGTGCTCTACATCGTTCCTGATTCCCGACATGGCCCATCTTAGTGTCAGCCTTAGATTTTGCGTAACTAATCACTCATTTTTTTGTGTCTATGATGTTGTGTTGCTGTGCCTTAAGTTCAAATTGCACAAGCTCAATAGTCAGTTGGACTGCTTTAGGTGCTGTTATATCTTTGGATCCATAAAATCAGTTTGTTCTGGGAAGAAAGGGAGCACTTATTTCAGATAGTGTGTTAAATCAGAAGTTTGAATACATTCATAGCATTATCAATGCTTCCCAGTATGAAAGGCTTAGAATTGAAGTACCTGTTCAAGAAATAGAGTCAATACTTAAAAGTAAGGTGTTTTATTCCCCTTTTGCATAATGTACTAAGAAACTGAGAGTAGCACCTTTTCTATGTTTTCTTTCTAGCTTGGACAGCACACCAGCTAATGTTTTTGCACATGTCTAACAGTCCCACCATCTTTTCCTTCCCAATTTAGAAATGGCTGGAGCTTTTGTGGGAGTGTTTTTACTAGCAATGTTCTATGAAGGACTCAAGATAGCCCGAGAGAGCCTGCTGCGCAAGTCACAAGTCAGCATTCGCTACAATTCTATGCCTGTCCCAGGACCAAACGGAACCATTCTTATGGAGACACACAAAACTGTTGGGTAAGAGGATTGAACAGATCCAGATGGACGTTCTGGGGAGCTGGGTTAGCTAAGCAGCAAAGCAACTATTTTGTTTGCAACAGCCCCCTTCCTGAGTTAGTGATTCTACGTGACCTTGATCTAAACTGTCTCTGGAGGCTTGGAGCTGTGGGTCATGAACAGACCAAAGGAAGAATGATAGGAACCCTTTTGTAAACATGAATGTTTGTTCTTAATCATAAGTATTGGTCACTTTAGAATCTATATTGTAAAATATCTGCCAAAATAATAATAATACGTTAAAGAAATTCAGGTTAGGGTATAGAAGAATGGCAGAATCCATTTGATTCTATAAAAAGTTGCATCTACCCAGCTCCAGTCTCAGTTTGTTTACAATATAAGACTGTAAAAATGTCTATATTCCATCTAAGAAAGTGTTTGGATAACAACTGGTTTTTCCCATTGATTGGCAAATGCTTTTTGAGATTCAGTTTTAGTAGAAATGTAGGTCTTAAAACTAAATTGGAGTTTTAGCACTCCTATAGACCAATATCCTGCTCTCAAGTACACACAATATTATTTGTTCCCATTGTACTGATGAGCTTATTGAGGCCCAAACAGGTTGTGGCTTGTGACTTACCTAAGGTGAAGAGCTAGTAAGTTACAGACGGGATAAATAGTCAGGTCTCCTGATCCCTAATTAAGTACTTTCTGCTATACCACCTAACCCTCAATTCTATTTCCTTTTTTTTTTTTTGAATGTGAATTTTGCAAAGGTAGACGGCCATAAAATGTTCATGCAAATAAGTATGGGAGGATTTAGGTTTCCATTTCAGGATTCAAGATGGAGGAAAGTTGAGGGATTAGTCCTCCTTCCTCTCCCCACCTCCCAAAGAGGGTTCCTCCTGCTGACATAAACATAGCTAGCCATTGCTTATAAACCTGGCAGCCCTATCATGTTTCATTTCCAGGGACCAGTAAACAACACACATACACACAAGTACCTATGAGGTACCAGGGTGGCTATGAGGAGTCCAGTTCAGGCTGAGCTCAGGACAACGATTCCCCCTTTCTCCTGATCGGCAGAGGAGCCTGAACGTTCCTAAGGGCTTTGACTCTTGTTTCCCTATTTATTCTCCAGGCAGCAAATGCTGAGCTTTCCTCACCTTCTGCAAACAGTGCTGCATATCATCCAGGTGGTCATCAGCTACTTCCTCATGCTCATCTTCATGACCTACAATGGGTACCTCTGCATTGCTGTAGCAGCAGGGGCCGGCACAGGATACTTTCTCTTCAGCTGGAAAAAGGCAGTGGTCGTGGACATCACAGAGCATTGCCATTAACGTCAGGCTCCATAGTGTGGCCTTATCGAGTGCAGTGGGAAGCAGTTCAAGACTGGAAGACATGATTCCTACTCATATCTTCCCTTTTCTCCTTATCTCCTTACACGTGTGCGTGTGCGCACGCACACACACACCTGCTCATATCTTCCCTTCTTGCTCCTTATACACACACACACACACACACACACACACACACACACACACACACCCCACCCCACCCCCACCCCCTGCTCAGTAGAGATTTAGCTTAGTCTCTGAGCTAACGTGGTAACCTCCCTGACAGTTTTTTCCTGAGCTGAGATTCCTCTTTCTCTTGAGGTAAAGCCACCCATGAGATGTCCCTTCCTCCACCATCATCTTAGATCCAAGTTGTATGTTCTGGTCTAATCCAGGTAGCTTTCTATTCAATGATGATCACCTGCTTCCATTTTTAGTCTTCTGTTTTTATTTTTTTAACAGACAGTCTGTGAATTTGGTGGGTTTTTCCTGGGTCAGGGATGGAAAGGGATTAACTTCAGCCAGGATATATGGCAGCTGAGGGAAATTCTTGCCCAACTAAACCCAGAACCCAAACTTAACATTAAAAAATAAGTTTCAGTCTTGGACTCAGTGAGTGGGAAATACGTTGTGCCTTTCCCTAGGTGTGATGTGTTGCACCGAAATCTTTGTAGTGGGCAGAGGGGGTGTTTTGAGACAAAACCCAGGCCTAGAGCTTCCAGAAGTGTGCATTCTTGGGTGGCTGACTCATCAATTGTGTTCCCACTTAACATTTTGATTAGAATGAACTTGTTAAGCAAAAAAAAAGATGACAATCAATTTGAGAAAATAGAAATAGGTATTTTAAAATAAAACCATTGACATTTTACTTTGACTTGATACCTTGGTTTGTCACAGCTGAGTGAAGGAGAAAAGTTTGAATCATTATCTCCCATTATTGTTTCCATGTGTCTGGTTTTCAAACTTTAGCGTGCGTAAGAATTATCTCGAGGGCTTGGTAAAAACACTAGTTGCTGGGCCTCAACCCAGAGCCAAAAATTGGCATTTCTAACAAGCTCCCAGGTGAAACTCCTGCTGATGATCAGGGTACCACACTTTGAGAATCTCTGCTTTAAAACTAAGGGAGTATCACCTGGTGGGGTGAGCCTGGGAATTTGAATTGCTGATTGGTAGGTGGTATGTCTGGGCTTAACTCATGTACCAAATGCTGCTGGTCAACACTTAATCATTCCACAAACATTTATTCAGCTCCAACTGTGTGTGTGCCCCAGCACACATACACCAAGGACTGTAGCCAAAGTAACTTTTATCAGCATGTGCGAAATCACCAGTCCTTATTTTTAAAGATCTGTAGTTTCTTGGAAGTAGCTTGAAAGTTGAGAGAGACCTTTGATCTGCAGTGTAAATCACCCAGCCTTATAGGCCAAAGGGCAAAAGTCGAGCCCTGTCTTTGGAGAGGCTTAGGGTATGTCTGCCGCTGGCCAGATTTTCCCACTCCCAGCATCCATGCCCTCACCAGACATTCTCATCCTCTATGTGACCATCTTTGTTACTCTTGGTGACTTAATTTGAATGTGGCCCAAACCTTTTCTCAATGAAGAATCACATTGGATTTTTATCTGTTCAGTTGTTAGTCTGCACTGCAGTTTTGTTCCCAGTCCAAACTACCTCTGTGAAGTGACTCTGTTAAATCCTGTCCTCGGTGCTGGACTCCAATTGTGCCTCAGGGCTGAAGAGACAAAGCACAGCTATCCTGTTGGCCTCTGTTGTGGTTTTGAAGTTTGTACTTTTCTCTGTGGGCACAGTTAAATATTGGAGAGTGAGGAATGTGTACTTCCATGGCTTTCAACCAAGAGAGGGCTATATGAGTCTACTGGACTAGCTTAAAATATAAGAACCAACATTTAGAGTTTTGTGCTTTGCTTCTCATTTTAACCCCTTGTAGTGCTGATGCTTAGCATGAGCAGAGTGAATGACAGGTACTGACAGAGTCCAACATTAAGGTGAAAATAGCCTGTTGTTGTCTCAGCAGCCAAGAAATAATAAAACCATGAGAAATAAAATAATGTTTAGTAGTGACCCTGGTGCTGTTTAGAAATCTTGGCATGAGCTGCTATAAAATAGCCCTTTCAGGAACAGGACCTTATCATTAAGATAAGAAAAATCAAGGCCAGTTAAGAAAAGGGCTATGAATTTCAAACTCCCAGAGAGAAACATCAGTTTGGGATAGGTCTTCAGGTATTCAAGATAGAGCCTCCTGAAAAACCTGAATTCCAGCAATTCTTAGACTAAGTTGCCAAAGGAAGAAGCAAGTGAAGGAGGAAAAAAATAAAAGCTTCTATTCCTTCTTTCTTGCACTTTTGGGTTGTGAGAATATAATGATCTCTTTGACTTTCATTTCTGCCTCCCTGTTCGTTTGGAATTTCGTGCCTGACTTCTTTGTTCCTTTTGGATCCAAATTTCTCTTTTTCTCCTCCCCTGTTCAAATCGATTAGAAGCCCGTATCCCCATTTCTTTGGCCCCTTATTCTGGTCTTTTTCCTTTTCTCTGTCTTTCATATCTAAAAGATAGTATCTTTTATCCCATAGATCTAGCTTATTAAGTCTCCCTAGGCCCCCTGATGCAGTGGACATTACTGTGCAGTGGATATAGACACCAACCAGAGTTGTCAAACTTGGTAGAGACCTTACACACATTTCGAGGTGCCGTTGTCCCACTAGAATTTCTATAAGGCTGGGTAGAGGGCTACCAAGTACCATCTGCAGCTACAGAATCTTAGGTGCACTCTACAGTGTATGCTGGAGGAACAGTCAGCCCCCATTGCCCACACATGGGATCCTGTGTGTCCACCAGGAAATTCGAGATGAAGGTTCTCTCACTACTTCTACAGTTGAGTTGTCTGGAATTCCTTTTCAGGCTGTGAGGCACTGGTCTTGAGTTATAGCCACCAAGGGTTCTCTAGGAGGAGCTGAAAGGGGAGGGGGCAGGGGGTACACTTTCATGTCATTTAATTTTGATCCTGCCCTCTCCAGCTGCTGCTTTCAGAAAATACATCTAAAGATACAAAGTCTACATTTGCTATAATGCCTTAATCACTGGGTCTACAATTAATGTTGACTTTTAGATTGTAAGCTCCCAGAGAGCAGTATTGCTGTAGTAGGAATGTTCTAACAGTATCATGTACAAAAGAACAAAATAAATATTTTGATTTTGTGATTCTATGCGTCTTTCTACCCAGAGTGGTATCAGAATAAGTGGTCTTCATTTTCCACAGATTTGGCCATTACCACTCAGCTTCAACTAATAAATCCATGGCCAGCCTGGTTCCCAGAGTCCATGATCTTAACCACTTGCTATATGATCAAATAAGTGGAGTAGAAAATTTACTCAAAAGCAGGACTCTATGCACGAGAGTGGTTAGGGAGGCCTTCATGAGGTCTGCTTTAGTTAAACGGTCCTCTCCTTTCCCACCTCCTCCTGACCAGCTGATCACCAAGGCTTGTGACAGAGGTGGGGGCAGTCTCGTGTCTCCCTTTTTCTTTGCCCTTCCATATTGACCTTTCCAGGCTTCAAGATGACATTCCCTACCTATCTGGAGCCTGTCTCTTGCAATGTTTTTAAGACTGTAAGAACAATTGAAAGTCCTAGATAAAACTGGAATAAAGGTTTTTTAAGAATGGTTGAAGGAAAAAGAGAAACTATGTATGCTCTTCTATCCCTGCCTTTCCCACAATCTTATTACCCAGACTTAAACTGCCCTAGAAAGGCTGGGTAAAATCCTGCTGAGGGTTCTTTTTAGAAAAGATGATTCCGAGGTTCTACGGTTGGTGGTTCCCTGTAGTTGAAATAAATAGTGTAAATAATAGGACATGATTCTAAACTACCCTCTGTACTGCCTCTCAGATCGGATCCTAGTGGGAAAAATTCTTTGGCAATTTGGGAAAGGAAGGTAAGTTGGAATGATGGTAATACTGTTAGGAGCATTCATACTATGTCCACTGTCTGTCCTCTCAAAATTATACCCAAACTCGTCACAAAGCCATTCTGTAAACAGATTCTGGTGGCCCACAACTTGATCAAGTTTACACAAAAAATCACTACACTCTAATCTCCACAAGGACAGGGATCTTTGTTTTGTTTACTGATGTTACTAAGTGCCTAAGATGGCACCTGACACAGGCATTTTATAAATACTTGCTGAATAAATGAGTTAAATGAAAGTCAGTGACAAGGATCAACTGAAAGTGTTCTGTGCTCAGGGTCTTTTAATAAATGGGAAAAATGACGTCAACTCTTATAGCAATTACCTTTTAAAATCTGGTGGTTAACAGTGCTATTATTAAGGATGTCTCACACTTTTCCAAAAATATATTTATTTTTAAAAACAAAAATCAGACAAGTTTTATACAGTGAAACTTTCCAGAGACAAACCAGAGTTTGGATTTCAGCTTAGAGTGAAAGTTAAGTATCAGTAACCTCATGCAGAAGTGTTTCTCTCTGTAGGAGGTAAAACATTCTGTTTGACTCCAGCACTCAGTTCCCTAAATCTTGTTTGTACTTCTGCCATCATTTTATTCCATTCCAGGGCTCTGGCATGAAAGATAATCCACCTCTAAAATTCAAAACTTCCAAATTGAGACGAACGATTGTTGGGCTTGGCTTGGGGTTTATAACCAATTCGATCATTAATCATCTGTTCCCGGCTCTTGGGGTCACTGCTGAGCCCAATGGCACCTTCTCCATCACTACCTCCTACACCATCCACATCTTCCTTTTGTTTCTTACGGGTCTGAAAATACAAAGTTTTAGGATTAAAGCAACATTCTTTGCATTAGCAAATATTTATTTGGCACCTATCATGTACTTAGCATAGTGTAAAGGACAGGGTTAGGCTCTATAGAACAATAAACTGAAATCCTAGGTTTCGATGGTTAGGAATACAAGGGAGATTGACAGCGGTCCCCCCTTATCTGCAGTTTTGCTTTCTGAGGTTTCAGTTACCTGTGGAGGTCCAAAAATATTAAATGGAAAATTCTAGGAATAAAGAATTCACAAGTTTCAACTTGCATGCTGTTCTGAGGAGCGTGATGAAATCTGGTTTCATCCCACCCGGACATGACTCATCAGTCCAATGTCTCCACACTGCAGACACTCCCGGCCCATAAGTCCCTTAGAAGCTGTCTCTGTTATCAGATTAGCTGTTGCAGCATGCAGTGCTTGTTCAAGTCACCCTTATAACAGTGCAATGCTACGTCACAATGCCCGTGTCATTCACCTCACTTCATCTCATGTAGGCATTGTATCATCTCATGTCATCACAAGGGTGAATACAGTACAATAAGGTTATTTTGAGAGACCTTACCCACATAACATTACAGTATATTGTTATAGCTGCTCTATTTTGTTATAAATCCCTTACTGTGCTTAATTTGTAAATTAAACTATCAAAGGGATATATGTATAAGAAAAAACATCCTATACATAGGGTTCAGCACTATCCCTGGTTTCCAGCATCCAGTAGGGGTCTTGGAACACATCCCACTCGGATAAGGGGGGACTACTGTCTAATGATAAAAGATATAACCTCTACCCTTCAGGATGTCATGGACTACTAGGGAAACAGGTAAAGAGACAATTACAACATAGGGTGATCAGAGCTGTGACAGGAAAGAAAGCGCACACTGCCAAAGAGACGCAAAGAGGAGGTGAGTTGGGGGATGAGTGGCGGTTCAGAGCAGGAAGCTGCAATTAGAAAGATAAACAAGAACTGGCAGGAACGGGAGAGAAGGGTGTTTCAGTAAATGTATTATTCAGGAGAGCATACGGAGAAACAAAGTGACTGGTAAAACAATAACCACCAAAAATTAACAGCTTGACTGACACCGTGAGATTAAATGTAACACAGGAATAGAAGGTTTTGTGCTATCTTATTAAAAGGCCTGGGGTTTCATTTTATTTTCAGATAAAAGGTTTGGCTCTTAAATCACAAGTGACTACAGAATTCACAAAATCTGTGTCTCAGTTTGATCATTTTCAAAAAGATCACATAACTACCAGTATCTAACTGTAAAGATATTAGATGGATGATAACTTTCTTTGAGGGGATGAACATATGTTTTATCTAGAAGAATGGCTCACTAATCACTGGAATTGCTGTCATACCTCACCACTTACTAAACTGTGAGCACTTAAATGCCAATGTCAAAGTACTATAGTGAATCAAATATATATAGTGTATGCATATTTCCTGAGTTACTCTCTAGTTAATCTACATTATCAATAAGCAACATTAGAAAGTTCTCCTCAAATAACACTGTAATCACAACTTCTAAAAGACAAAGGGCTCTATCACTTGATAAGCCATGAGAAACTCTGAGAATATTCACATGAAATGAAATCATTCAAAGGTTTCCCACCATGAACAACTGCTGTTTCAGAATCCAGTCATCGAAATGTAACCCAACTCATTTCAATAACAAATGAATGCCAGTTTTCAACTGGTTTCATTTTAGTTCAGGGCAAAGTTATCCTTCCCTCCTAAGCTGCTGTAGAAAAGGGCAAACCCACTGGATAACTGCCTTTTGTAGAAAGACTCAGTAGTGAGCTGACTCTGTGGAGTCAAAGTTCAATATGTGAGCACTTTATGAGACTCATTACAACTGAAGTTTAAGCCATACTTAAAGTTCATCCTGGGCCGGCCGAATGGCGTGATGGTTAAGAACTTGCTTGGGATGCCACAGGGCCCCGGTTCGGATCCCACATATGAGGGCCAGTGACACTGCCCTTCACAGCTAAGATGCTGAACAACAGCTCAACCTGGAGCTGGGCCATCAAGTTCATGGATGTGGACAAGATGTAATGTCCTCTGCCATTCAGTACAAAATATCTACTAGGACAGCAAATGAAAACAGGCTTGTATTGAGCTCCTCCACTGGGCCTGGTATTGCAGGGTAAGGAGGCAAAAAGAATGTTCTAATTCCTGCCTTCAAGGAGTATATGGCAGCAGGTGGGGTGGGGATGGAGAGCAGGGAAACAGAAAATGACAACAGATAGTACCTATGAGAGAGGTCAGCACAGGGGGAACAGGTTGAACCTAACCAGCTGGGGGCAGATAGTCAAGGAAGACTTCTGAAAAGAGCTGAATCAAAAGATGAGTAGGAGTTAGCCTGACAAAGTCAAAGGGCGTTTCAGGTAAAAGGAAAAGAATGTGCACAGGCACTAAGATTAAAGTTAAAGATAACTCAGCAGTGGAAGATAAAGTGAAGAAATGAGCAAGGACGAGGTCACAAAGGGCCGTCAGTGCCATCCTAAGGAATTTGGAATTTATTCTGAAGACCACTGAAGAATTTAAGTCTTATTAATGGACATTTAATACCGAGGAGTAAGGCTATACTTAAAAATACATATTGAGCTCCGACTATGTACTAGATGCTGGGAACTCAACGGTGAAGACAGACCTGATTTCTACAATCAAGGTTCCTAATGTAAATGGTTTTATAATAAACAAATCATTGTAAATTATAATAAATGCTACAAAAATCAAAGAATAAAATGCTTTAAAAAAAAGGTAGAGGCTTCAATTTTTTTTTTTTTTAAGATTTTATTGGGGAATTGGGGAAGGGGACCAGCCAAGTTGTTGTTCTTCAATCTTCGTTGTGGAGGCCACCAGTCACCATCTGGCTACCTGTCGGCAGCTCATGGTCTCTAAGCTCAAGGTGCTGTGTTCAATCTTAGTTGTGGGTGGGCGTAGCCACCATCCCATGCGGGATTCGAACCTGCAGCCTTGTTGTTAAGAGCACAGGTTCTCTCCACTGAGCCATCCAGGTGGCAGCTCAGCTCAAGGTGCCAAGTTCAGTCTTAGTTGCAGGTGGGCATAGCCCACCATCGAACAGGCAATCTTGTTGTTACACCAGCTGAGTCATCCTGCCACCTGCTGGCAGCTCAGTGACAGCTCAGCTCAGCTCGGGCGCAGCGTCACTGGCCCATCGAACTGGCGGCCCTGTTGCTCAGAGCTCGCACTCTTAAGCCAACTCTACCAACTGAGCCACTCGGCCGGCCCCAAGAATAAAGTGCTTTGAGAGACCCTAATGAGATGGAGGCAGCATGGATAGGAATGACACGCCGAACCTGGAAAGGGTCGGGACAGGCCTCTCAAATTGAGGAAGTGACATTTAAACTGAGACATGAAGAAACAGGGAGCACTCCAGGCAGAGGGAAATATGTGCAAAGGCCATAAGCGATAGTTTTGCATGTTCAAGGAAATGTGAGAAAGCCAGTATAGCTGGGGTACAGAGGGCAAGGCAACAGGTGGCAAGAGATAAAACCTTAAAGGGGTCAGAACATACAAAATCGTGTAGGCCACGATAAGGAATTGAGATTTTATTCTCAGTGCAGCAAACCATTGAAGCAGCTTAAGCAGGGGAATGACATGACCTTAAAATTCTTAAAGGTCATTCTTGATACCTGATGAAGAAAATGGATTGAAGAGAGACAAAAATGGAAGTAGAAAGACTGCTTAGGATGCTGCTAAAATAGTACAGAGAGAAATGATGGTTACTTGGACTAGGGCTGTACCAGTGGAGATGAAACAGTATGGGTAGTTTCTAGAAAGTATATGGAGGTAGAATCAAAAGGTTTACGGACAGATTGTATATAAAAGGTGAGAGAAAGGGAGAACTCAAGGATGACTCCTAGGTGTTTCTGGCTTGAGTGGCTGCATAGATACTGACATGGGGAACACTCAGATGAAACTGACTTGAGGAAGAAATCAAGAGATTTTGTTTTAACATGTTAAGTGTCAGAGACTGAATGATGACCCCCACAGCTATCAGAGCCCAATCCTAGAAATCTGTAAATATTGTCCAATATGGGGAAAGGGTCTTTGCAGTTGTGATTAAGGATCTTGAGATGGGGGCATTATCCTGAATTATTTGAGTGGACCCTAAATGCCCTCATATGTATCCTTTCTGGGTTTGTTTGTTTGTTTGTTTTTTAGCTGAGCCATCCTGCCACCTGTTGGCAGCTCAGCAGCAGCTCAGCTCAGGCCAGGAATCAAACTGCTGTTGCTCAGAGCTCAAACTCTTGAGCGAGCTCTTAACCAACTGAGTCACTCGGCCGGCCTCACATGTATCCTTATAAGAGGGCAGAGGGAGATTTCACAGACATAAGAGAAGAGGGCAGTGTGATCATGGAGGCAGAGGTTTGAGTGACGCGGCCACAAGTCAAGCAGTGCCGGTGGCCACCAGAAGGTAAAAGAGTCAAGGAACGGATTCTCCTCTAGAGCCTCTGGAGGGAGCATGGTCCTGCTGACACCTTAATTTTGGTCCAGTCATACTGATTTCAGGTTTCTGGCCTACAGAACTGTGCAAGAACAAATTTCTATTGTCTTAAATCACCAAGTTTGTGGTAATTTGTTACAACAGCCACAGGAAACTAATACATTAAATTGGAAATGCCTGTAAAGAATCTAAATAGAGATTTCAAGTAAGCTGTTCGTATGAGTCTGGAGTTCAAAAGAGTTATTGTTTTAAATATTCCTGGGCCGGCCGAGTGGCGCGATGGTTAAGAACTGGCTTGGGACGCCAGAGGGCCCCGGTTCGGATCCCACACATGAGGTCCAGTGACACTGCTCTCCACAGCTAAGATGCTGAACAACAGCTCAACCTGGAGCTGGGC